GGGTTTAACCTCGCACCATCCAGGGAGAAATGGAAGGGTTTGAAAAACTTGTTAATAAATTAAATTGTTTTTACTATTGTATAGACTTCATTCTTTTGTTTTTTATTTCTAATATTTAAATTATCTTCATAAGAATTAAAGAAAAAAATTATAACTAAAATAATAATTTCAATAAAGCTTATTGTTAATACTATTACATAGTTGTAAATTCCAAAAATTTACAATCTATCGTTTGATTGATTTTTTGTTTATTATGAACCATTGCATGCTCTGTTTTTTCAACTCTATATACTTAATATTGAATTATTTATTTGATTTTCATTAATTTTGAAAATGAAACCTTTATCTGTTTCAATACAATACCATTTCTTTTACATTCAACCAATCAATTTTTCCAATATCTTTAATTTCAAACAATGGTCATTCCAAAAAATGCCTCAATGGAAGACAAAAATGATAATTATTAAAAATATTGCCGAGACCATAAAGAATCTTCTAGAGAATTATGTCGAGGTTCATAGGTTACCAAGCTCAGTGAGAAGTATAAATCAATTAACTCAATCGCCTATATTCTTACCAGTAGAAATGAGTTATAATTTTATCTAAATAAGGATCATTGAATTAGCTGAATTGCACTTAATGACAAATAAAGTTCAAAAATTCAAAAAGAAATCAGTCAACTAAAAGCCAATGCTGAAAACAAAGACATGATATAAGCCAATATTGAATAAAAAAAATAATGAAAGTTAACAAAAGCTAAATGACAATCAGCAATTAAAAAATGGTATTTCTAATCCGAAATTTCAATTAAATTTCTTGGAGGAAGAAAAAGAAAACAACCCCAAAAATGAAAGGTTTATTCAGGAGCACGAACAAAGCTGAAAAGCAGGGACTTAAAATAAATCAAGAAAAGAAAAGGCTCAGATGTCGGACATGCTAAATAAAGCTGAAGAAAAATAAACCAAATTAACCCAGATAAAATCCAAATAACAAAGTCAAGGCCGAATTGAAAATGAATTTATCTCTTTAGATTGATCACTATTACTTTACCTATACTACATGGGGCATTGAATATCACATTATTATTATATGGAGGTCATACAATTGTGATGTTAAACTGTGTTCATGATATATAGTTTGAGACTAATAAAAATTGATCTAAATTTATTAGAGAAAATTAATATTAATATTAATTAATAAAAGTTTATCCGTTCCAAAGATTACAAATATATTCATCATTTTCTACAACTTATCATATTAAGTTTATCTAATTTAGTTAAAAATTTATCAAAATAAGTTCTACAATACGATGATAAATAATACTATTAGGAAAGAAAAGGATGGTTAATTGTTAGTAAGTAATAAAGCATAATGTTAAAGAGTTTTTTTCAAATAATTCTTACCTCATGATCGGAATTATGGGCATACACAAAATTGTGAGCCAGCTCGTGACACATACTCATAAACCAATAAAACATTACATCAGCAGAAGGTGGTTGGCCATTGGAATCATGAAGAGATATGTAAAATTCTAAATTGAAGAACAAGGACTTTGCGGAATTAAATGCAATCATGTCTACTTCTGGATCATAAAAGATATTAATCGTTTTAGGGTTGAGTTCAAAAACCTCACAAAGATCCTTAAGAATCTTGATGAAATTTCCTATAGATTTTAATCTGGCATATGTTAAAACTTTCGATTCAACTAGTTTCTTAAGGATATAAATATTGATCTCATTAATTACTCTGACACGTTTTAATGGTTGACCTGAATTTTTAACATTCGGACAAAGAGATTTTTAATATATTATTATCTTGAAAATATTACTTAAATAAGTCCTTTTGTGAATTTATATACCTTGTGAAATATCGCAATGATTCTTTTCAGGCTCTCTGTCAACATTTAACCCAGTTTGAAAATCAATTACTGCTCTTGAATTGGGACAACAAGAACTCACACCATTACGCAATGCTTCACGCAAATATTCTTTTGAACAATGGATAGGATCTGACCCAGAACCAAGCATCTTCCATGGTGGATTAATATAAAAAGGATTTTGGAATAATCCAAAATCCCATTCTTCTTGATTTCGCATTGTGGCAGTGGGAATTTTAATAGTGTTTTTTGTTCTTTCTTCCAGCATACGATCCACCGGATATCCATTCTTTTTAAGCGCATTTAGTGGCGTCATTAATAAAATACTTATGTGTGAAGTATCCTGAGGTTCTGGTTTTTCATAAATATGTTGTGAAATTTCAGCAGCAATACCTAAAAGATCTGGTTCATCTTCGTCACATTTGAAATATATTGTAAATTTACGCTTTTCTTTATTGGATTCTATTTTACAAGCCTTCGAATCAGTTTTGGTTTTTTCATTAAAGCGATAGGTTCCTTTAATATCTTCAACTTCCATTACATTCAATTCTTTCATCGAATCTTCAGGAAATTTGATCTTATATGGCTCTTTATTATAATAAAATAACGGAAAACGCTCTCTAATTAAATTCTGCAATTCTTGAGACTTTCCTGTGAGTTCTGGAGTTCCTATTGTAACAAAAGATGATGTAACACTGCTATCCAAAGAATAACTTCCGAGACTCTTTGATGGCATAGTTAAAACAAACATATATATGTTAATATATTTTACAATAAATAATGTGAAAATTTATAAAATTTTATTATTACCCGATATAACTTTTCTAATAATTCATCGATGGGGCAAGTTAGTGGCTTAAACATGTCAGCATAAAATGAATTGTCGTTTATATAAATATCTTTTGCACGTGCTAACTCATATTTTACATTGCCTGCCTTGTCATTATTCTTTCCTAGCAAGATTTGCTCTCGCTTCATCTTGAATAAAAGTCCTGAATTCTTTTCGATGGAAGAAAAATCAATAGCAATTTTATCCAATATTGAGACGTATTTATCTTTATTTCCATCAATTTTCTCCAAAAATGCATCTGAGGAGTTAACAAGAAATTCAGCTAGTTGGGATGGTGATGGTTTATCTTTGACACCACAATTTCGTAAAAATACATTTGCCTTATCTCCAAAATCAACATAAGGAAAGAAATCTATGAGTTCGGTCCTAATTAAAATCTTTAGTTAATATCATAGCATATATGGATGTATATTGGCGAGTGGAAAAGAATACAACATACCTTTCTTCTTCAGAGTTCATGAAAAAACAATCTTGTGGAAGATTGTATTTGAATGTATTAGGTAGATCTTTGTCACGGGTTGGAATAAATTTCAATTTACTAAAAGCAGTCGAGTCTGAACTAGATGTGCATGAAAATAAAAATTCAAAAACCAGCTTAGCCTTTTCTTCATTTTCTGGAAGCTCTTTGATTAGTTTATCCGACAACTGCGAGTGATCTGGATTTTGCACTACACCCAATTCTTCAGCTCTACAACGTAAATCTTTGCGTAGTACATTAAATCCCATTATTGCACATTCAGGATTAAAAAAACATTTTGAGGGTTCTGAATAAACATTTGGATCCATGCACGGCAGAAATGGCACATTTATTGACCTTGCATCATAATCTTTAGCATATTTATCTCTAAAATTATCAAGAAAATATTCAAATGCTTTTTGACGAATAGGAGAATTCGATGCCAGTTTAAGAATTTCATCGAGTGGTGGATATTCACGTAGACCAAGTTTTAAGATAAATTTGCCTGTATTATGCAATTGATAATAATGATTATTATAAGGTTCAAGAATTTATTTCACACAAATGAGTTTAATTGCCATACCTTCTTTAGTATTTTTATAAAATCGGCCTTTCCATTTGATGATGGGTAATTCAAGTTCAATTAATTTGGGCAATGGTGCATATAATTCTTTTGCCGTAAATTTTTGGGTTTCGTTTCCAGATTCAATTGGCCATATTACCGAAGTTTCCAATTTTTCTATATCGTCACATCCAAGGTCAATTGAGGTCAAATATTTTATTAACTCCATATGATCCCAACTTCCTTTATTAAAAAGTTGATCAAACACAAGTTGCAACTCAACATGCTAAATTAAGAAAAGCAATTTTAATAATACATAAGAAAGCCATATAACAAAAGAATGTTAATGATTAATATTTCAAATTACTTTTTTCACGCCAATAAACAATAAAAACTCGTCGAGGTTTTTTGTTTTGTGTTGTTTTAAATTAACGTTCGGCAGATCAGGTAATAACTTGACATCTGGAAAGTAAGATTCTTTAGGTAATTTCATACCAGATACTGTTGGAATGCATCTCTTTTTAGCCATGATTTTTTTTATTGCTTTGAGGTCAGACTTTGACAAGTTTTTAAATTGATGCGAAATGATTCTCAAAATTTTTTCTGCAAAATCAGGATCATCTATTCCAGGTTTTGTAAAAATATACTGAGTCCACGTCAAGATGGTAAGCTCAGTCCAATTTCTAAGATATTATACAAAGTTAACATCCTGATATAATGTGATGGATATCATGAGCTAATGAAAACACTAACCCAAAATGAGCCTCCAAGTCTTCTTTTCGTAATGGTTTACTAATAGAGTAAGGTAAAACATCTGGTGGAACTTCAATAGTTGGTGGAATAACATGTGGGTTTAGGAAGTAGCGAATATGATTAAGAGGTGTAAGATCGTCTCCTATAGAAACGAGGCACATAAATTTACGAAATTGTTCATCAGTTATATAATTTTTGGAACGGTACCCTATCCACCACTTGAACAAATCTGATAATTCTTCGTCATTTAATCGACGTCTTTCTAGTTCCTCAAACACATCATCAATTGAAATCTCACTAATGCATTTCAGAATATCTTTTGCTATTGTGAAAAATTCTGAACACTCGGTAAACAATGAGAATGGGACCATAGGAATTGTTTTGATAAATGAAACCACCTCTTTATTTGGAACCCGCACGGAATTAATTGGCAGAACACCATGAGTAGATAAAATTTGTAGCGATTTTTTTGTGCAGTCAAAAAATTGAGATTCAATGATCTTTGCAACCATATTATTAGGCGTGCTTGTTTTGAATGTAAAGTGTTGTAAAATGTGTACAGAACATTCCTGTAAATATTCAAAACCTTTTTTATCTTGTTTATCATCAGAGTTTAATAATTTTGGGTCAATATCCATACATAGCCTTGAAATTTGATTCATTTCATCATCATACACTATACGAGCCAAAATTCCGGCTGAACATAACATCTCCTTATTATACACTGATAAAGTCTTATGTACTAAATCTATTGATTCACGTTCAACCTATAAAACTCAGTGTTTTCAATATAAATCATGAAGAATAAAGAATAAAGAATATAAGCAATTGATAATTGAACATAATATTTTACTCACTGTGGGAATCACTCGAGCTGCCAAGTGCACAGAACAACCTGTGGTTTGATGGGTTGGAAATCCAATGAATATTCTACCTTGATCAGGAAATGGTGTTAGGTCTTTAAAAATATTTAATATTTCTTTATTAGAATTTCCTGGCAAATTGCGTTCATCGTGTCCAGTAAAAATCATTTGTATTGTTGTGTTATTTGGTGGTTTTTTTTTAGTAGCAAATTCCATCTCTTCACTAAAAGATTTAGACACATCTACACCCAGATTACCACATGCAATCTTCAGAGAAGTGGATTGTGATATTTGTGATTTTTCAGGACCAATTAATCCTCTAAAATGTAGTCGAACATTACATACATCAACAGATTTTAATCGGAACATATTCTTTGGCGAAAATTTGTTTAGTCCAATATCCATATTAATTGAAAGTGATTTATTGGTCTCTTTTGTCAGATGAATTACTTCTGTATCATTAAAATAAACAATGACTTTACGAAGATTTCTTGTAAAGCCCTAAAATAGTAAACGAGTAAATACTTGTGTTCAAAAACCTAGGTTTACAGACTTTGATAGGAGTACTTACCAATGATGTGGCTAAGAAACGTCCAAAATATCCTATATTAGGTAACTAAAATATAAAAGAAGTCCTCAATTTACTGGATAATGATAACGATGATAATGATAAGGTTAAAAATATAAAATAATTGGGTACATTTTCTTTTCTTCGTGTATCCATTAGAAAAGTTGTCCAAATCATGTCATCTTGTTTTATACCACCCATTTTGGAAAATAACTGATCATTGCGCCAATAAAAGGCCATACCTTGTGTACCTGACGAAATGCTAATAAAAGAAAAGGTACCACGCGGTCAAAAATTGGATTAATTGAACGGAATAACATCAAACTTTATAATAAACTTTAATTATTTACAATGGCTCTTCACAAATTGAAAACAACGAATAAAATCCGACTCCAAATGCTCCAATCTAAATCAACCACAATTAAATTCTCAACAATCCAAAAATGATCTTGCAAAAAAAAACCTGATGCATTAATCAATTAGAACCAAACCTTTTCTACATCAGGATTTCCCTCTGCGATTTTTTTCAACCTGTTCCAATCTTCATCTCGAAACAGGAAACCATTATTCTTGAATATGATTCGTCTGCATTTTTTTGACTTGTCGGTTTCAAATGTTATTTGGACGGTTTTGGCCTGGGCATCGTCTGAATGATTTTGATAATTTTAGGTAAAAATAGTTAGGAACAAGTAGAAAATAGGCTCATTATTACCTGAATTCTGCATCAATTCCCTATATATCACGAACTCTGCCGAATATCTATCAATAAAATATGATTGAATTGATTAATGATGTAAATAAAATCAAAAGTCTGATTTGCAAACATTATGTACATACCTTGCCAAAACCTTATCGATCAAGTTCCTCTGATTAACCTCAACTTTTTGTTCGCCAGTCTCATTAAAGAGCACCGTTTTGCGAAGTTCATCTAATAAAAGACTCTTGAGTTAACAATTGTAGATTACATGATTGACACCAAGTATTATACCATTACCATAATTTTCTTTTCTTATATTATCTTTTTTTCTCTTGGGCACACTTTTTATAAATTTTTTCATTTTGAATAATAATTTATGAATTTAGAAGACAAAAAATTCCAACAAATAGATAGAAAATTTTCATTTAGAGAAACGAACCTAATTTTTCAATTATAAATGGGCAATTTGTGTGAAAAAAATTATTGAATTTACAATGATATTGACAATTTGATAAAAATCATTGAATTTACAATGATATTGACAATTTGATAAAAATCATTGAATTTACAATGATTTTTACAAGTTGATAAAATCATTGATACTAAAGTTTATTTTTAGAATTAGGTTGCGATTGATTGATTATAAACGGTCAAAACATTTGTCGATCCTTCGATAGGAAGCTTAATCTCTGGTGGTAACCCGCAAAGAAATTGTATTCCAAGTTGAAATCAGCATATTTTTAGTTTTAAATATAATTCTTGGCTCAAAACGGGTTCGGGAATGTACCAGGCCCATTGAGACCGAATATGCTTGAAATGATTCATAATGAATTCCAATGGATCGTCAATTGACTGGCATTATAGCAAACCTTGGTGGTCCAAAAAAAACAAAACTTTAGGTTGTAAACAATTCATGAAGAATGACAGTATCCAAATATCCAAACCAATTGGTCATATAAACAGCATACATAAACTTATTTGCGAAGCTATATATTATTTGTAACAAATGCCATAAAGATATTCTTTTTTTAGAATGTGATTAAATGATGGATTGCATGTAAAATTAAACTATTAATGTGGCCTGTTCGTGCAAAATCCCATACCTTAACCAGATATACAATGTTCAAACAGCTATCTGAAGCAAAAGATCAACTTTCTTGTCTTTCGATGGAGTAATTAACGCATACATATATCTAATAATTTCAATTAATTTTTTTATAACAATACAAATGAAACAGGAAATTCTCTATAAATCAATTCAAATATGATTATCAGAAATTTCATGGATTTTAAAATTTTTAAATGTTAAATTAGTGTCGACAATAAATTAGTTGTAGGATATTTTTCTTAATATACGAAATTTTGCAATGCACAAAAACATGTCGGCAGATATATGATTGATACCCTAGCATACCAAAGTCAAACAAATTAAGTTGCTAGAATGAAGACGGAATGTCCTTCGATAATTGGTACAAGAGACATAGCACAAATGATGATGATAATGAAAGAGAAGGGAGTAATTTCTTTCAAAGTGAATATTTTAACCACGGATTTGGACATGTTTTATCAATTGAGTTAATGTTACAATTCCATCTGCCTCAAAGAACATTTTTGTTGGCTTAGAAACCATGCCCATTTGCTTATTAAGTAAAATTTCATCTTCATATCAAATAGTATAATATACTTATGTTTCGCCATATATAAACAACAGGTTGTTGTTTTACGAACCTTGAAAAATAAAATGAATTTTTTAGAATTTTTAAAAAACCTTTGCAAGTTCTAACGACCTTTATAGCATAAGTAAAAAATGCGTCTTATGTTTACTTTTAAAATTTTAGAACATTTGATAAATTAATTGCCGAGAAAAAAAAAAAAACGTAAAAAAATTTACGAAATAATTCAACCTCAAACTGCTCATTATAAAAGACATGACAAAAAATACATGAAACTGTTTTGAATTAATTATACTTTATTAAAAAAAAAAAACAATATCTTGTCGGGTATCATTTACTTTTTAAAACAGCATCAACTTTTCGTGGCATACTATCTATTAATCTATTAATTCTCCCCGGGATTAAACCATTCCTCTTTTAATAAATTGGTTTTGTGTTTCTCATTTTAAGTCTTCTTTTTAAATCTTGCCAAAAATTTTCAATAGGATTGAGATCTGGACTTTGGGCAGACCTCATTATCTTCTTTCCATGTGTTTGCGGCAGCTGCATTATGACATACATGGTGCATTATCATCTTGAAAGATAAATACACCATCAACACTATTATGACAATTTTCTACATTTAATTCATTAATAAAAGATAATAAATTTGCCGCAAGAAGATTATTATAATTACTTGCATTTACCCTCAAACATCCAATTAAAAGTTTGCAAAAAAATTTTGATAAAATGGAAAATCAATTAAAATTTATTTACACTAATGCACCCATTTTTCTTGTAAACCCAAACCACAACTTCATCAGATTGTTTTACCGTTGGACTTAAAATATCCTTTTTTATATCTTTTTCCTGACATCCTCCAAACCCCTAATTTTTTCTTGCGTGTCACCAAAATAATCTTTTTTTCCTATATTTTTTTCTGCAATTAATGACTTCTTTACAGCTTTCCTACCATAAAGATTTTTAACATGTAAAGTTCGCCTGACAGTCTTTTTCACTTGATAATTGTTTGGGTCTGCCAGCCTTGGTGGCTGCTGTTGTTTTATTTTTTAAAAAAAATAATCATTAATGGTGCTCTTTTGGATATATTTAATATGTTGGCTATTTCCCTATAAGAAAAATTCGCCAATAATTCTTCAGATAATTCAATACCTCTGGCTATTTTGAGTCTTTGAAAAAAATATGGATAAAAAGAAAATAATAATAATAATATGGCAAACTTTGTGAAATACTGCAAATAACCAGTTTCAAACTTGAACATTTTTTAATTATACCATAAAAGATGACTAGAATAGAATTTGCCGTTTTAGTCAATTTTCGAGTCAGAAAATTCCGAATTCATTTTATAGAACTTTTAAGGTTTGTAAAACAACAATGGTTTTATTTAAATGTGGTGAAACTTCAATATATTATACTATTTCTGTATTTAATATGAAGATTAATTTTACTTGATAAGCAGATGTGATTGGGATAGTAAAATTTTTAGTTATTGTCATGTCTAATGATGCTAATGATGCATGACGAAATGTTTTTGGAGTTGAGAAACTATTTCGTCAAATGTAATAAAAAATGACGAAAGACTAAACCTATGACGAAAGACTAAATCCTTGGCGAAATTAAAATCCCTTGGCGAAAGTTAAAATCTTGCAAAACAAAAAAAAAATTTTATTAAATTTTTACTATAATTATTCATATTTTTGTTTTTTTATTTTTTACAACTTCATTGTAAACATTTCTTCTATGTAAATTATGTTGTTTTAATGTAAGAAGTGAGCCAAAGAAAAAAATGATAAAAGAAAAAGTAGCAGTAAAACATTTAATAATACAAAAAAAAAAAGAATTATTACATCTTTAAATTCATATCCACCGATTTCTGCAAAGTTACACGATTTTTGATCATTTTGAGGGTAAATTTTTGAAATTTTGGGGATATTTTTTGTAATATTTTGACTGTTTTGAATAAATATTCCCCCTATTTTGTATATTTTGTACCCCTTTAACGTTCTTTTCAGAAATTCTCTAATACCAAACCAATCACTTTTCATAGTAAACCAATCACTTTTTTTTTATATACTGAATTCAGGATCGCAAGTAATTAGTTGAACAAAATCTGGTTTTGTAATCTGTTAAAGCTTTTTTATAATAATTTTTTTTACTTTTCTTTAATTTATATAGTAACTATGAGTGAAGGAAACACTGGAAATAATAATTCACATATTTGTATTATATGCAACAATACATATAATTCAAAAGATAGTCTAAATCAACATGAAACATGAAAACATTCCAATTACCATGAATATCCTTTAAATATTCTCTCTACTTCTGAATATTCTTTATTAGAATTTAAAAAATCATTAATTTTTAATATTAAAAAAAAATTGACCTTAAATCATAAAAGTTTAGGGAAAAAATCATTAACTATTCCATGTAGTGAAGGCATGTTCCTAAATATTTTTAAAGATGAAATTCAAAGGTATTCACCTGCTAGGCGTTTTTATCATGGGAGAAGAAGGTGATGAGAAATTAAGGGATTTACTTGGTAGCGAAGATTGGGCAATTAGATATTATGACAATAATCAATATGCTTATGTGGATATTATTAATAATCAAATAAAAGTAGTATGGAAAGAAGTTGAGTTGGTAGAAGCAATGGTAGTAGTATCTCTTCTTCAAATATAATTATTAGTTTTTCAACATATAAAGGAAGTCATTAATTTTTTTTTTTATTTATTTATAATTATATTTATTATTTATATTTAATAAATTAAAAAACATTAATAATTATAATAATAATTATACTTAATATAAAAGATATTTATATAACCAATTTCTGTTTATTATGTTTATTTTAATTTATTTTAATTTTTCTAATATTTTTACTAATTGTTGGTATATTGTTATAATTATAATATAGGAGGCGATTCTCATGTTCTAAAATCTCAATTACAGCCTTTTTTCTCCCCTTTCCACCATCTTTCAAGGTTTTTCTAAAATATTTACTTCTTTGCATATGGTTTTTTTTTTCAACAGGACTGGATGTGAATGCCTTAACTCATTAATTTAATTAATAAAAGTTCATTATAGAATAAAATAGGTTAGAGTCTTAATTAAAATTTATAGGATCTTTTCCCAAAATATAAAAAGATATTTTTAATAATTTTTATCATTCACTTCTCTTGCCTACTGTGAACTTTTGCGTTAATTATTAATAATAATTTTACATTTGGTGACGATCGACAGGAAACCTAAATTTTTGTTTCAAAATTTTGTACCCCATTAGGTTGCGCAAATCGGTGGATATGTTGTCTATTTTTACATTATTTTATATCATATTATTTATGTGCATATATAAAATTCATAATTTGTAATTTTTTAATATAATTTTAACAATGTATTGTATAGTCAAATTATATAAATTTTATACATATAAAACCTTAAATAATATTAAATGTCAGTAATTAGAGAGAAAGTAAATTTCTTTTTTTATGATTATATGATGATGGTGGTGGTAACTATAAATAATAAATAAGCATTCGTTACTCTAGTTGCAAAACAAAAGAATTGATTTTTTATTTTCGTTAACTATCTTTACTTTCGTCAAATCGTCAAAATGCCTCTTGGTGAGAAACTACCTTAGTCAGCACTTTCGTCACATCAATGACTAAAGTCGAAAGTTTCATCATGCAACATTAGTCATGTCACTTTATTCAATTATTTCTGATGATATCTATACTTTTGTCCAGGAGTGTAGAGTATTATTTATTTGCTTAATATTAATGTAAATAATTATATCAGAAATTAATATGGAAATTCCCCAAGTCATTGTCCTCCCTTCAAAAACTCTAGAAAGTTGAGAAACTTGCTTTCCCAAGTAAAGCATAACAGGCTTGTTAAATGATCTAGATGGCGGGCGAGTTTTGCTAATTTAATATAGTAAGATATTTCTTTTTTTGTTTATGAATAAAAAATAATTTTCATGTTTATATTTTTCACTTATTTCATTCTCCCATTACTACAGTACATTAACTTTTTTTTTTTTGATATGGATCTGACTGGAAATTAGATTAGTGAATATGAGGTGAATATTACAGCTGTGGAGTCATCTGACGAAATAATTTCTGTTGGGTCTGATAACGAAGACTTTGAAATAAATTTCGTTGAGTACTATAAACTCTTTCGAAACTAATTTCATCAGTGGATTTCATATTTCTACAAACTAAGAATTGGACAATGTTTGTTATACTTGGAGATGGTCAAATGTGCATATAGTTGAACACTATCTATCTCTTAACGGTCAAAAGTATCCTTTTAATTGTAACATCAAATAATTTTTTGATCTGCAAAGTCGATCGACCAACTTTTTTAAAAACTGAAAGATTATTTTTGTATTAGGAAGTGATACCGTCGGAAAAGGTTTTTTACAACAGAAAAAAAAATTTTTTTCGGCTATAAATAACCGAAAAACCATTTAAGGCATAGTGGTGTGTTGAAATTTTGATGATTTTCAAAAATGTAATACAAACTGAATATTTTATAATAATAGAAAGAAAATTACGAACATTGCAGTAAATGGTTTTTCACACACATTTATGGCAAGCTTAAAAATATATATATCGTGAGAAAGAGTGCAATATATATTTAGTTTTCAATTAATTTATATATATATATATATATATATATATATATATACATTTACATTGTTCGGAAATAACCTAAACAGTAATTAATTTACATTCATTAGTTACTATATTAAGTTCTAGAACTATGCGCACTATGCGCCATCCCTAGTTACACTTAAAGGTAGTAAAATAAATCCAGAACTTCCGACACAGATTGGGTATGATTTATTCAAACAAACCCGTCATAAGCTAACTTTGAATGGCGATATTATACTAAATATATCAAATAAACAACAATTGGAATTGGAATTGGAATTGGAAAACTATTCTGACTCAACACAATTAATGCTAATGAAAATAATATCAAAGTTGATGCACATATTATAATACAAAAAAAATAGATGAACAGAAAAGGTAAAGGTGTCGATTTATGTTATATTATATATATTATATTTAAATATTTAATAAAACATTTCTCAAATAATAAAAAAATCATGATCCATTGTTAAATGACCTGCCTGAAGCGGATCCCTGAATATGCAAACTACTATATTTAGAAAGGTTTATATAAATTTAATTTGACGACTCCAACAAGTGTAACGTATTACGAGCATTATTATTGGTTTTATTATTTATTTATAACAATTATGGAAAATTCTCTCACTCACACATACTCGCGTGAGGTCACACTATATTTTTTTTTAATATATAAAAGTAGAAAAGTCTTTTTTGTGTATTACATAATTTTTTTGTCTTTAATAAATAACTTTTAATAATGAAATTTGGAAAAACTTTGGAAAAAAATATTCAAGACTTTCCAAAAGATTGGAAACCTGTCATAATTCAATATAAATACCTGAAAAAATTTATAAAAAATATTTTTGACGAACTGAATTCCAATGTTCTGCTAAAAAAACTAATTGGGATTCATAAAGTTGATGAGAACATTAGTCATTATTTCGAAAAATATAAAATAGAATATAAATTTGATGGTAAATTTATTTTAATTATAATTATAATCATAATAACAATTAAAATTATTCTTATACTAATAATAACATTGTTATTATTAATTATACTTAGTGAGTCCTGAATACTTTCAACCCTATCTCAAAGTTGAATTGGACTCGGCCGTTGAGATTAATGAACTTTATAATTGTGATTGTGATGAAAATGCATCAAATATTTCATCTAATCAATTATTGTTAAAAACTAAATCTTCGGATTCAGTCGATTCGATTGATTCTGATTCAACTTTTCATTTGGAAAATAAAATTAACAATGACAATAACAACATTAATAATAATCAAACATCAACTATTCGTATTGATCTTAAAAATGATGCAGAATTTTTTGTTACTTTGCTAATTGAATTATCACAATTAAATGATTTAATAAAACAAATCAAAGGAAACTTTGAATTGAAAATTAACCAATTATCAAAAATATTAACAGATGCGGTAATTATTTCTCATTATCATTTATCATTCATTATCGTTGAACTTGTCATTAAACACTAAATCACAAAAATAACAAAAATTTTTAAAAAAGACTTCTCCATATAAAAAAGATTTATACAATTGGCGACAAATCTTTCGATTATATTTACAAGCTGAAATTTTTATCGGCAATACAGAGAGCGATAGAAGCGAAAAGAGTCATGAATTGTCAAGAAAGAATTTTCAATCGTTTAAAGATGAAATAATGAATAATTTGGTAACAATCATTATTATTACTAATAATAATATTTAATATTAATGATGACGTTAATTTGTTAATATCAATAAAAACTTTTTTTAGTATGATGGATTTAAATTGGTTTCATCGAAAAAAGCACTTGATGAATTTTTAAAAGTATTAAATTTTTTTTTCAAATCATCGATGCATCAATAGATCAATTAATGATTATTATATTCTAATTAAAATTTTTTTTTTTTTTTTTTTTTGCAGTTTAATGCTGAATTAATTTCAATGAAAAAATTTCAATATGTTAATGCTATTGCAATGTCAAAAATATTGAAAAAACATGATAAAAAAACTTGTCTCACGTAAGTATGAATGAAATATTAATATATTTAGATTTTTGTTTAATTTTTGAAAATATTAATATTATTAATATGATGAATCAGTGCAAGTCCAAATTTCCTTGAATTTATCAAAGATGATTTTGATCCAATGAAAAACATTTCAAAATCGCTCTTTTTCTTAATTCAAAATCAATTAATCACCATTATACCACAACCTGAAGATTATTCTTGTATAATTTGTACATGTAAGTTTCAACAATATTTTTTAAACAATTTAAAAATTAAATAATTAATATCATTGTCATTCATTTTCTTTGGGTAAAGTTGTTTACTGGAAACCAATTAGATTATGTTGTGGCCATGTGTTTTGTGTACGTTGTTTAATTAAATCCGAGGCTAAGGGAATGAAAGATTGTCCTGTTTGCCGTGAAAAAGGTGCAATACGTAAGGCTGATGCAGGTAAAATACATTGATTTATTCTATATTCTTCTCTCTCTCGCATTCATTTATTAATTGAATATATTTATTTATTACAATTTATAGGCAATATTGATAAATCTTTAATGAATTTTTTGAAATTATATTTTCCAAAAGAAGTCAAACAAAAAATTTCAAATGATGAATTAGAAGAAATAGATTTAATAATGAATAGAAGAATTTCACAAGTTAATGGATGTTGTATAAATTAATTTATTTTTATTAATATTAATAGTATTTATTATTTATTACGTTAATTTAATATTTAGTCTAGCTTCCTTTTCTTTTTTTTTTTTTTTCTTTTTTCCTACTAATTTATGAATAAATAAAGAAATAATCAAACCGCTGCTTGCAGATTTTCAAAGTTACTGAACATATCTAACACTTTTGTGTTTTCAGTGACAAAGAATCTTTAAATGGGTTAAATCACTGAATGGTTGGTTTATTGAAAACGTAAACGATGCTCCAGCAGAGTTCATTTTGTATGTGTATCTGCTCAAGTAAAAAAATATTTTACTTTTCAGCGCAACTTTTCTTTATGTAATTAACGTAATTGATTGTTTTTTTTTTTTGGAGACAAACACATCTAATTGTATATTAACATTATTGTTTGATTGTCATCCATTACGTTTCCATGCCTAGGATCTTGAATGTATCATTAGTATGATTGAAAGTTATCAAAGTTATTTAAAAATTTTAAATGAATCCATCGGTACATATAAATAAATGAACGAATGTTACTAACTATTACGGGCTCTATAATTTTCAACCATTGTAATTGTAAGAGGATGAAGAGAATGTGATGGTTATAAGGATTCCATCTTCTTCAATTGTTAACATTTTGAAGTTTTTTGTAATAGTTGAATTTTTATACACGTCTAATCACATAATTCAAAGGTCCGGAAATATATAATGGTCCTTTTGAAACTGTATTGAATAAAACAGTATTAATACTGTATTTAAACACTCTAGTGATGCGAGGAATATAATTGGCAAGCAGGGTGAGAGTGATTATGTTGTCGTTGTTGATGGAAAATAACTTTGACATGATAATCATTTTCTATTCTTATTATTATTATAAGTGCTCTTATTGCATATATCTATCTGGTCAAATTATTTTTCAACTTGTTCTCGTGATTGTTGTCATGATTGTTGTGATTGCCTTAATGGTAATTTATTATTATGCCTAGCTGATTATTTTATTGATAAAGAAATATCATATGTCGGAACCTAACCTATTTCTAATTTTTTTTTAACGGTACTAACGAAAGGTTTTTAGTAGCTCTCTGCTAGTTTTTAACAGTAATTAACTTATACTTGTATCTTAATTCCATCTTCTGGGTGTGGATTTTAACAATATTTCTTTCTTTCTATCAATCGGAATGACCAGAACTTCTTTTAAATAAAACCTCAACTTTCTGATATTAAAGTTTTCGTTTGAATTCTCATAGATTTGATATCTCTATATATTACTTTTTTAGTCATTTCTTTCGACAGAGTCCAAGATAGTGTTTCTATTCGTATCTCTAACTCCATATTCGAATATTCGTAATTTTATGGAAACGATTTTCGATTCTTATTCGAACATCCGTAACACTTTCGAATATCCGTAACGCTTTCGAATAATAACACTTTCAGATATTATATATTGTAGTTATAATATTAATATATATATATACTTTATTTTTTTTATTAATGTAACAACATTTCATGTAATTAAATATATAAAATTTAAAAACTACATTTTTACTAGCATGTCTGTTTAACTATCCAAATGTAAATTTATCGCAATCATTGATGAATTATCGTAAAAAACAATTCCACGGCCAAAATTTTGAGTTCATTGAAATGATTGTTGAAGAATTGCTGATTTTGGATCATGAATTTATTAATGTTGTCGTTCGAAAGTTCGTGTTGAGACAGTTGCTAAACATAATGTTTAGTCATTTTTGTCATATATTTTATGATTATTAAAAAAAAAAACTAACTGCTGTCTTTTTTTTAATAGAAAATCCGAATTATTTAATAATATTATTATGTAAAAATGAGAGATTAGTAATTTTCCAAACTTCATTTAGTGTCTTTATAAATTTCATTTAACCCTGGTGACAAAAATTTTCAGTGGGTGAAGTTATATATATAGTTCAATGAATCTTGCTTGTATCAACGAATTATAATTAAATTCACGTTACAGCAATTTTTAAAATTTTTGCTTAATAAAATATTTTCAGTTAGCAATAGGACGTTGATGGAAGTTCTGAGGTCCGGAACTAAATAAATTAATTAGATGATTAAAATTTTCGAAAAAAAGTTGTCTTTAATTACTTGGGGGTAAAGCCTTAAAATCACATTCAAAAATTCGATTTATAATAAAATGGAAACAAAAATGCTCAAATAAATATTGTAAATGACAATTGGGTATGAGAAACAAATGAAATCGGAACAATAAAAAAGTCAAGTCTCGAAATAATAATAATGTGATTCTTAGTGGCAAGTCAGTTAAAAAGAATTTAATAAGCCATGGTCAACAAATGTGGTGTCATTTCTGACAAATGATTAAACGTAAAAACCTTTTTTAATTAAGGCACTATTGTTTCTTGCTGTTGTACAGTCTCCGGCGAAAGTAATGGCGGCGATAATTTTTTTAAAAACTAAAAATTTTTAATAAGCAACTATCAATAAAATTTTATTTTTAAAACGCCTCTAAGTAAAACATTATGCTTTTAAAAGCTTATAGTATAAAACGTTTTCCTCCTTTCTCAATCCCGGTTTGAATC